GACAGCCTCTAAACTCTTTGTAATATTGATAAGACAAACCTGAAAGAGCAATGCAATATTGAGATATTCCATTAACGAGACTGTCAATTTTCCAATCAGTGTTCCCACTGCACACAAAAAGCAATGTGTGTGCATGCACACTGGACAGTGATAGTACAAGCATAATATCGTCCCATGCCATGGATTCAGAGTCATCTGCTATCCAAGAAATCAATATACTGGAGGCTCTGAGGACCAGGACGACTGTGCAGGTCACCTAATGGCCCAAGAGAACCACAGTCTGTCTCATGGTCCATACAAATCCCAGCATAAATGACAGCTCTCCAGACCTCTTCTGAACACAGTACACTCACCATGGGATAGTTTGTGTTCTTCCTTACAACTCCCTAGAGCAGAAGGAGAGGAGAATCCCGGAAAGAAAGTGCAAGTTACCTGGCACCAGTACTCCTGATTGCTAAACCTGCCCTTAGTCCCTCTTTGGCTAGGACCACCCAGCTCAAACTAGAATATTAATAGTCCCCATCCAAAATGGTCAGAGATTAAATGGCCTGGATACCATAGCCCTTCCTGCTTTGCCCTTCCAGACATGCAGAAAGGGGCCTAGTCAAGAAAGAAAAAAAACGGGGGCATTTATAGCATGCCCAAAATTGAATCCAAGTGGATCTCACACCTACATGTGAAATACGAAGTTCGTAAGTTCTAAAAGACACTGGAGAAACTAAGCCTCTCCAAGTTTGGCTTCCTGACTTCTATACTCACCAAAAGCACATTGGTGTTAACTACAAAGATATTTAAGCATATACCCCCTGATCAAAATGCAGCCCACAGAGTGATTTATTCATCAGCCAGCACCCAAGTCTGCGGACATGCTAGGATCACATGGTACCTCACAGAAAACTGAATATGGTGGCATTTTCCAACCCAGCCATCTGGAGGGCCTGGCACATGGTCTCCCATTGCTCCCCATTCAGTACTCCACATCTTGGAATAGCATCCCCACACTCACCATGCTGTGGCATCTGCGCTCATCCACGCTCCCCTCACAATCCCCTACATTAGCACTCAAAGCACAGCATCAATCCTTTGTCATTTGTTCTGCTGTAAAACCAAGCATGCAGCATGGC